GCGCCGAGCGCGCCAGGCTCGCCCGGCGCACTCGCTGAGCGGAGGAGGCAACAGCGCCGCCGCCCGGGCCATCGCGATCAGATCGACGCTGGGACTGACGCCGCGACCGCCGCCGCGGCCAGGCTGAGCCCCCGGAGGGAGCGACGGTGGGAGAGAGGGGGCCCGCCGTCCCCCGCCGCCCCGGCACCCCCGCCCTGGCGGCGGCTCGGCCGCATGCTTCAGATGGTAAAGACCCTGGCCCAGTTCACCATCGCGCTGGAAGACATGCGCGATCTGGGCCCGGCCACCGCCTCCGGGGAGCCCGCCGGGAGCAGCGGTGCTGACGCTGAGGAGCCTGGGGAGGCCCAGGTACCGGGAGGGGGAGAGACAGCCAGGGACCTTGGCCAAGACCTAGAACCCAGCGGCCCCGGGCCTGGGGGAGGAATGGGTAGATGCTGGGGCGCAGGACCAGGAACTTGGATCAGGCACACCAGCTTCCTGGCCGAGGGCCTGGGGGCTCAGAGACTAGTGATGGGGGCAGGGAGACTGAGGGTATGAGGAGTCCTGGCAGGGGTGGTGTGGCTGGCAGGGCGCTGAGGTTTGGTGCCACCAGAGTGCAAGCTTGGGATGGCAGAAGGGCTGGCAACCTCAACTGGGGTGGGGGGCCTGTACCCCGAGACCCAGCCTTGGCAAGGCCTGGTGGTTCGTAGTGCGTGATATGGGTCAGCGTGTAGGCAGAGCCTGTCTCCAGAGGTATCCTGGGTTCACAGGCTCCAGAAGGAGAGGTTTTATCAGCCTCTCTCCAGCAGGCCTGTGGCAGTCCCCAGGTGTACGTGTGTGCTGGGGGGATGGGGCATTGGGAATAGCTGCTTTTGCTCCCGTTTTGCCATTCTCTCCCTGCCACTGGACCCGCTGGGCCTGGGAGGTGTCATGCTGTGGTGGCAATGCTGGTGTCCCCATTCCTGGCTCCGTGCTCCCCTCTGGGGGAAGAGGAGGGGGAGGCTTCCAGGGGCTGTGTCCATGCCTTTGTGTGTTTCTCTGGGCCCAGACTCTTGATTGTCCTGCTCTCCTGGGCTCCCGTGGGGGCTCTGGTTCTGTCTTCCTCCCCATGCTGTGGTGTGTGTGTTTCTCCCCGCCACCTCACATCTCTGGGCTGAAGGCCCTGGTTCTCAGCTAGGTGATTTGGCTACATTTCTTTTTGGTCTCTTTGCGGAGTTCTGGCCTTTACGGCTTCTTCTGTGTACATGTGTCTCTGTCTTCACGCTGTGTGTGTAGGTCTTAAGCTTTGGGTCATGCTGTCCCAATCATACTGGTAGGAGAGGCCCCCCTCCATCTTCCTGCCATATCCCTTCAGCCCCCCTCCCTCTCCCACTTCAGCGCCCCCTGTAGTAAAGGTCTGAGGATGGGGCTGTTGAGGGGTGACGGGCTCTGGGGGGAGGCTGGGCCTCTGGGGGAGGCTAGGCCTACAGGGCTGTCCCGCCCAGAACAGGTGGGCCTGCTGATCTGCTTGACAGCTGCATTGCCCGTCTCCTGCTTCCCCTGGCTCCCCCACCCGCACATGCATTCACACCCGTGTCTGGGCACGTGCAGAAGGGCACTCCATGCAGTGACAGGGAGCTGGCCTTAATTTCCGTGCCTCTACCTGACAGCTGAGTGACAGCCCACTGTGCTTTCAAGCAGGAGGAGGCTGGGAAAGGCGGGTGTTGCAGCGTCAGCCTCCCTGCGTGAGTTACCCCAGCCCTCTGAGCTGGCAGGCCCAGCCCCAGCCCTCCCTCCCCCAGGAGGCCTCCCTGCCTGTGACCCTCACCCCAGGGCCTAGCAGGGCCAGGCCCGGGGAGTGGACGGGGGAGGGAGGCTGGGCCACTCAGGGCCAAGCCTGGCCTGGTTCTGCTCTCAGGGAGCTCCCTGTCCAGCAGGGAGATGGATATAGATGAACCATTTTGCTGAGGTAGAGTAAGAATGGACATTGAAGACCCAGCATGTGTGGAGAGAGCTGCCCTGCTCCCAGCTCCTTGCTTTCACAGTCCTGGGAGGAAGGCATTATTCATTCCGTTTCATAGAGGAGAATGTGGGAACGTAGGGCAGTTAGGTGACTATCCAAGGTCACACAGCTAGTAACGGACCCTGTGGCCCGTGGCTGGCCAGTCAGTCTGGGCGAGAACTCTGGGTGCTTGGGCCCTAAGACTCAACATAAGGTGGCTAAAGAGACTCGGGCTGGGGTGCCTGGGTGGCTCAGTCAGTTAAGCGTTTGACTCCTGGTTCCAGCTCAGGTCATGATCTCAGGATTGTGAGCTTGAGCCCCACATCAGGCTCTGTGCCCAGTGGGGAATCTGCTTGAGATTCTCTCTCGCCCTCTCCCTCTGCCCTTCCCCCTGCTCTTGCACACGCTCTTGCTCGCTCTCTCTCTCTCAAATAAATCTTAAAAAAAAATAAAGAGACTCGGTCCCCACTCTGCCAGTCACTGGCTCTGTGACCTTGGGCAAGTCAAGTCACCTCTCAGACTTGACTACCTCACCTGTAAAGTGGAGATGGTGACACCTTTGAGTGTAGGCAGAAATGAGCCATATCTGTGAAGTGCTGAGAGGGCCCTGGGGGACAAGGGGAGGATTGGGCATCCGGGCCTTTCCTTGGGAGGCCCTTCTGACCTTTGACGCTCTCCCAACTCTGCATCCTAGGGTGGGCCCAACTGGTGTTCCTTCCTACTAGAAGCTGCCCTGCTGTTTTAAAGGCCTTTGAATCACTGAGGATAGATGATCTGGCTGTAGCTGGGGGCTCTGAGGCAAAGCCCAGTGTCTTCTCACCCATCAGAGCATGCAGCTGGTAGGGGTGGGGCAAAGCCAGTCTCCTCCCCTCCCTCCAGGGAGAGCCATTCACACCGCCCCCAACCGTGAGTTCCTAGCACAGGAGCCTACTTTTCTGAGTGTGTCTCATTGTTGACAGGTTTGGGGACAGACCTGGCCCCGAGTCCCTGAGTCAGAGGGAGGGGGTCACAGGGAGGTGGGCAACCATCTGGTGAAGTCTTCCTGGAGAAGGAACGGGCCAGAGGCATAGAAGCTGGTGGCAAGGAGCAGTAGATAAGCTGAGTCCCAGGGAGTCAAACACAGAGAAGGCGTCCTCTGTCTGGCCTCTAGCAAAGCCTTCCCATAGAATAGGGCTGCCCTGTCAGGGATGCACACCCTATCCCTGGAGGTGTGGATGCAGAGTCTGTGTGACCCCTCAGGGACTCCCTACTGCAGACCATCTGATGCTTAGGATGGAGGCATTAGTTCCTGGGTCTCCTTTCCCCCATCCTTAAAATGGGAAGAAGAACAACATCTACCTCACAGGGTGGTCAGGACGATGAAATAATATATGCTTAGAACAGTGCCTGGTGTGGAGTAGGGCTCAGTTAACCTTTTTAACTGAGAGAACTGATATCCAGCCTTGTCTGAGAGTGGGTGAACCCTGCCCCTACCTGGCTGTGTGACCTTTGGCACTGACTTCCCCTTCCTGAGCCACCTTTTCTTCATCTGTGGCAGGCGGCCACAGTTTGCACTCTCAGGGATGGGATGAAGCCCAGTCTAGTAGGGTCTGACTCCATAGCACTGAGCCGGAAGGAGGGGTTTTCAGAGTTTGCAGCTGGAGTGGGGCGTGGCCTGGAGGCATCTTCCTTTGCAAAGGTGAGAGGTTATTGATTGTTTTGAGTCCTTTTCAGGAGCCCAGTGCACAGGAGATCATCAGCTCTGCCGGCAGCCATGGGGGTGGTGGTGGAGGAGTAAGGGGCACACCCTGGAAAGAGGGGCATTTGAGATGTAGGGGGAGGGCGCTCCCCGCACAGGGAGCATAAGAGCAAGTCCCTGGCTGAGTGGAGGTCCATGGTGCTCTGGGGTAACAGCCAGCAGCCGTGGATGGTGGGAATGCAGGCCTTGAAGGCCAGGGAGAGGATGAGGATGGGCTCTTTGGGTCCAGGTGACTGCAGGGGGCCGGGTCTGAGGGGAACAAGGCCCTGCTCACCCTCTGCCTTCTGTCCCCCAAGGACATGCGGAAGCACGTGACCATGACCCTGCTGGACACGGAGCAGTCCTATGTGGAGTCGCTGCGCACCCTGATGCAGGTGAGGCTCAAGGCCGGACCAGGCTCCCCGAGAGCAGCCATTCTGAATCTAGGAGGCCGCCAAACATGTGGGAACAAACCCATTTTGTGGACAGGGGATGGAGGCTAGAGAGGAGAGAGGAATGACCCTGGGTAACATCACCCCTCCGTGGAGAACCCCCCCATCCTGTGACTGTCCCAGAGAAGGAATCCCCCTCCAGGGTGGGAGGGAACATAGAGGGGACTTAATAAGGCCAGACAGGCCCCCCAGGGCAGGTGCTCCCTCCTTTTACTGTCCTGCCACCTCCCCCTGGCGGCCCCGTGCCTCGGCTTAGATCTGTGCCCCCGCCAACTGTAGCCCTGTCCATTTTATTCATTGACTGGGAAAATAATTGTTGAATGGAATAAAATGTTGAGCACCTGCCGTGTGCCAGGCCCTGTTCCAGGCATAGGAAACACGAGGACGAATAAGAGAGACAAGCTGCGCCACAGGACCTCATAGTCCCGTTCGGGGCATAGTTGAGTATATGGTCACTCTCAAAGCATTGAGGGGGCACCTGTGAGGTGTGAGGTCAGGGTATTTTTCCCTGGAGGACGTGCTGGCTTCCTCCCCACCTGTCTTGTCAGCAACAGGAACAGCAGGTGCAAAGTCAAGTAAGGAGAGGCCGGCACAAAGCACAAAGGGTTGGTCCTCTGGGGATGCTGGGGGAGCCAGCAGGAGCCACGTGGTAGGGGCCTTGGATACCAGGAAGAAGGTTTGGACCCTACCAGGGGCCCTGGAGAATCAGCAAAGGGCTTTGAGCTGGGGTGGCATGTCATCTGATTCATGCTTTATAAAGTCTGACTGCTAGGAAGGTGGGCAGCAGAAGAGGAGGCCAAGGCCACTGAGGGTAGGCAAGGGAGGAGAGGCCAGGACCAGGGCAGAAGCCACAGGGAAGAAGCGTTGGGACAGACATTCAGGAGGTGGACTGGTCAGGCCAGGCACGGTAGCTGGTCGGCTGTGGGATGAGGCCTGGACTCCTGGTCTGGGTGACGGCAGCACTGGAGGAACCCCACGTGTGAAAGTTGGGGCGAGATGGCCAGATCAGGTTCCGGCGTGGGAAAGCCCCTGAGTCAGGATGCACATGCGGGCCTGGGGCCCAGGGCAGAGGGCGTGGATCCCAGCTGAGGTGGGGCCTGGCAGGTACGGTTGAGGACGAATTTACTCAAGCCATCTAGGCAGAGTGAGAGCAAAGAACAGAAGGTAGAGCCCTGGAAAGATCCAGAGTGTTCATTCATTTACTCCACAAATCTGCAACGAGCATCTTCTGGGTGCAGACCGTGTTCTCAGTGAGGGTTCAGCGGTGAGCATGAGTGATAAGGTCCTGTCCCCTGGAGTCTATGGCAGAGACTGACAGTAACCAGTCAGACAAACCTTATACGTGAGGACAAATGCGGGTGCAAAAGTGCACGGAGGGTGTTTCTGTAGCAACTGAGTATCGTTCAGCCAGAAAAGGGAGGAAATTCTGACACGTGCCACAACATGGGTGAACCTCGAGGACATCATGCTAAACCGAAATGAGCCAGTCACAAAAGGACAAATACTGTATGATTGCGCTTCCATGGGGCACTGAGGGTGGCCAAGTTCATAGAGACAGAAAAGTCGAACAGTGCTTGCCAAGGGCTGGGGGACGGGAAGTGAGAGTTAGTGTTTAATGGGTATGGAGTTGTGGTTTGGGAAGATGGGAAAGTTCCGGAGATGGATGGGGATGATGGTTCCACAACAACGTGAGTGTATTTAATGTGAGTACTGAACTGTACACTTAAAAGTGATTAAAATTAGCAAATTTTATGATGTATATTTTGCCACACAAAAAATACATTGCTTTTATATATTAAAAACAAACGCACAGAAAGAGGAAAACACAGAACGGGGGCCTGCCCTGGTGTCAGAGGCCAGGGAGGGCTTCTCTGAGGCTGGGGTGTTCAGCGGAGACCTGAGGGATGGGTAAGCGTTCAGCAGCGGGAGAGCCTGGAGGGAACCATTCGGGCAGCGGGTACAATAGGAACAAAGGCCAGGAGGCTGGAAGAAACCTCGAGCAGTTAGCCATGGAGAGGTGGCCGGGGCGGCTGCTGTGCCAGGTGCTGGGACACAACCAGAATGCCATCTTTAAGAGATGCCCTTGGCTGCCAGGCAGCAGTAGTCATGCTGGGGTCCAGCAGAGCGTGGGGTCCTTTGTGGTCCCCTAGGTGGGAGTTGAAGGCATTGGGGTCAGGCAGTCCAGGGTTTGAGTCACTCGCCTCCCTGCTGGGTGATGCTAGCCTAGTCACCTCACTTCTCTGAGCCTCGGTGTTTTTGTGTGCAAAATGTGACTAATCATACCCGTATCCCAGCGTGAGAGTGCAAAGGTAACGAGGCTGCTCATGCCTTGTTCACACACCTGAGGCCGGCGGGACCCGGGCATGTCTCTCTACCTTCGAATCTCCTGGCCAGTTCACGGCTGCACGCGTGGAGGCTTGCCGGACCTGCCGGTGGAAGAGCTAAGGGGGGATAGTTCTCAGGAGGCCAGATTGAGAGTGTGGGTGGTGAGGGGTGGAGATGGGCAGGAGAGTGTCAGCCGAACCCCAGGACTGTCACTCAAGGCAGCCCGGGTGTGTCACAAGGACTGAGGTCCAAGCCAGGCCACCAGTGTTCAAACTTGGCACACCTCCTGACCGGCCATGTCACCTGGAGCAAGTTACATAACCAGTCTCTGCTTCAGGGTCCTTGTCTGCAGAGTGGGGATAATAATGGTGCCTACCTGTTGAGTGCAGACTGCAAGAGAGATGCATGTGTAATTTAGCATACTGCCTGGCACGTCTGCACGTGTGCATGTGTGTGTGAGTGCGTGTATATAAAATCATATCTAATCCTTACATTAACGTTGTCAGGTAGGTATTATAACTCCCTCTTCGTATGAGGAGATGAAGGCTCAGAGAGGTTAAGAAAACTCCCCAGGGTCGTCCATCTATTAAGTGGTATTCTAGTCCATTTGGGCTGCTAGAACGAAAATTCCACAGACTGGGTGGCTTGAACAAATACAGATTCAGTTCTCATAGATCAAGGCGCTGGCAGATTTGGTGTCTAGTGAGGACCCACTTCCTCCTTTTCACTGTGTCCTCCCTGGTGGGAGGGCTGAGGGAGCTCTCCGGGACCTCTTGTAGAAGGGCACAAATCCCATTCGTGAGGGCCCCGCTCACATGACCCACTCACCTCCCAAAGGCCCCGTCTCCAAATACCAGCACGTTGGGGACTAGGTTGGAGCATAAGGATTCTGGGGGGGATACATGTGGTAATACCGAGAGCTGACGTTTATTGAGTGCTTCATATGTGCACTTTACATAAGTTAAATCATACAAATCTCATAATAACCCTCATTTTACAGATGATGAACCTGAGACACAGAGACGTAAAGCAACTGTTCAAGGTCACAGAGCGGGGAATTGCCACACCCTGGGTGAATCCCTGTCAGTCTGACTCTAGGGCTCTCCCTCTCACCAGCTAGTCTGCACTGTCTGAGCATATCAGTGCTATTCAAGCTGAGACTGGACTCCACAGCCCTAGTGTCCCCTCTCAGTGACCACTGCCACCCACACTGACTGGTATCGTTCCTGCAAGCCAAGAGTTTTGTTCTTTTTTATTTTTTAACTGAGGCATAGTTGACACACAGTGTTACGTTAGTTTCAGCTGTAGGCCAGGAGTTTAAAATGAAGAAATACCAAGGTTAACAGCCAGAGGCGATGGGGTTTGAACCCACGTCCTAAGGCTACACCTTTCCTCAGTGTCATCCTCACACTTTGAGTCTTTCTTCAACCCCCGAATTCCCAGCCAACAACCCCCCTTTTCCCTGACCCAGCCCCCTTCTCCCAGCACTCCTGACCCTGTCTTTTTCCCCATAGCACTTACTGCCTTCCAACACACGTGTCATAATTTCATTATTTATGGTGTTTATTTTCTGCCTCCCTCCACTGAGGTGTCAGCTCCACAAGCACCAGGACTTTTGTCTGCCCTCAGGTGCCGCCTGGTGCTTAGAAGGCCGGACACTCAGTAGTTGCCCAGCAAGTACACCGTGGGTGGGTGCAGGCGTTGGTTCCTAGGAGGTTCTGGATCAGGTTCTCTGCTTAGTCTTTCCTCCCACTGTGTGCCTGCTTCTGTGTGGGATGCAGTTTAGCTCCTCTCGGTGTGGGGCAAGAGAAGACCCTAGCTCAGACTGGCCTAAGAGCTGTAAGAGGGAGGCTGCCTGCCTGTCTCACCATCACCCCCTGACCTTTTAAGAATCCCCAACCAGGCAAGAGGATTCTGTTGAGCTTGACTTTCTCAAGGCTGTTTTATCCAACAAGCCAATTTTTAACAATGTTTAATATAAATTTTATTGCAACATTGCGTTACTTTTTCAAACATCAATTCTTGGGCTTGTAGTTATAGTTTAGGCCAGTAGAGGGCGACCGCTCCGTGAGCACACCTGCCGCAAGCAGGGCTCTTCATTCTCACAAAATGGGCGGTGAAGCAGATTTGAGGTGAAAAAGAGGAGTTTTAATCAGACTTGACCAGTAGATCTGAAAACCGTGAAGTCAGTGCTCAGACAGTGGCACTAAAGGCCTCCCAGGCACCCCCTTGCTTTATTTTCCCCACAGCGGGTCTCAAACTTTCCACACGTAACTGATTCTAAGATAAACATCTGGAACTCCAGGTTCATCCTATAATTAATGGCATATAATAACTTAATTGGCAGCGGTTTTTCTTCTTAAAGATCTGATGAAATGTGGTTTCTTTTTGTTTCTTTCTTGTATTTCGTGTTTCATCTGACTAGACTGTAAGCTCTACTAGGGCAGGGAGCTTGGTCTTCCTTGTTCACTGCTGAACAGTGGCTAGCACAGAGTGAGTTCCCAATAAAATGTCTGCTGAGTTAGTGTGTGTGGGTTTCCCAGGAGGCCAGTCTTCTTGCTTTCCTCACTCCAAGCTCTGCTTGTTTGTGCATCCAACAAACTTTTCCCGAGCCCACTCACCCCCGTCTTATGCCAGGCCCCGAGCCGCACAGTGAGGGGCATGGGGATAGGTCTTCCTGTCTCCCTCTTAGAGCTCTGAGTCTAACAAGGGAGATCTGGGAGTCATGGCCACTGAGTCACAGGGCCAGGTGATTTCGTGTGCACCTACGCCAGGGGGTTGGGGTGCCATCCCTCTGAGGGTACCCGCACTGACCTGTGGGGGACCCCCAGGGCTACATGCAGCCGCTGAAGCAGCCAGAGAACTCCTTGCTGTGTGACCCGTCACTGGTGGATGAGATCTTTGACCAGATCCCCGAGCTCCTGGAGCACCACGAACAGTTCCTCGAGCAGGTGCGGCACTGTGTGCAGACCTGGCACGCCCAGCAGAAGGTGGGAGACCTGCTTGTCCAGTCGGTGAGTGGCCCTGCTGTCTGCTGCTTCAACCCCCACAAGCTTGGGCCCTTCCTGGAAGGGGATAGCTGCTGCCATGGACCCCTCACCCAGACCCACTCCACTTGGACACTGACTCTGATCCCAGATCCAACCCCAGGACTTGACCAGACACTGGCACTGACTCCAGCCCTGGGGTTGACCTGAACCTGGACACCACCAAACCCCAGAGCTTGGCTAGACTCTGGCCTGGGCCCCAATCCCAACCAGTTACCGACCCTAATCCTGGACCCAGCTCTAGTTGCTGGCACTGACTTGACCCTAGTCCTGACCTTGAGCTGGTGCTGACACAGACCTCAGTGGATGCTGTTACTGACCTCAGCCCTTACCTTGACTAGCTCTTTTCTCCATCCAGCATTTTAATAGGATAGCTAACTATTTGGCACTTTGTACTAGCCATTATTCTAAATACGTTATATATGTTCACAAGTCTAGGAGAAAGGTGCAGTTATTCCCCCAAGTTTAAAGTGGATGACTCTGCAGCGTAGAGAGAAAGTAACCTGACCAAAGTCACGGTTAGTGAGTGGTAGAGGGTTTGACTCCAGGAAACGCGGCCCCAGTGCCCACACCCTGCCCCACTCTGTGCCCCCTTGCACCAGGAGCAGACCTGCCTGTGAGCTCTTCAGGATCCTACCATAGTGAATGGGACATTAGAACAAGTATTGGCTGCAAAACTCAAAAAGAACTGCAAAAGCAAAACCAGTAAACATTTAATTACGTGTCTGTAAAAACATAGCATGCGATTTTCTTTGTTACGTGTAGTATTCATTTATACGAGGTTAATTACGTTTGAAAAAACTTAAGATACATTTTGTTATTTGGCCAGAATTCCCAAGAATGCATGGTGATGACTGATAAATCATAGCCAAACACAAACTAAAATGGTTACTCAGAACCAAATAATTTCAAAAGCAAAATGGTAAAACGCCTTCCAAAAATTATACCAGCAAAAAAAAAAAAAAAGTCTTATCTATTGTTGTGAGATGTGGATGTTTTTTCATGTGTTTGTGATGATGCGGGTGGGCCTTGGGCCTAAGAAGGTCTTAGAAGGTGCCTGCTGATCTGGAACTGATGTGACAAACCCTGATGGGACCCCCGTTGGGTGCTAACCCCTTGAGGCTATCACCACCCTCAGCGTCACCAGGCTCATCCCCTGTCTGGACTTTGATGCTGACCCTGGTCTGATGAGCAGAGGCCCTGGTCCCAGGAAGGGATCAGCAGAGAATGCTCTGCCCCAGGGTGGGCTGGTGGGTAAGGGCCGTCTTCCCCTCCGAGTTGCTGCAGCCTCCCCGGGCCTGGGGAGAAGGACAGTCAGCACCTTAGAGACACAGGGCCTTGTGGGCCCAGAGGGGCCAGAAACAAACACCACCACAGGTCCCCTAGTCCATCCATGGTACAGCTGACCCAGGAACCAGGGTATCCCAACTCCCAGCCAGGGCTTCTGACCAAGAACTTCCACGTTTAGCCCAGCTGTCAGCGGGCCGTTAGGTATTAGCTACCAGCTGTGTGCCCCCACTGAGCGGGATATTACTGGACAGGATGGGCGTCCCTATCTCCTCGCAGAGGAAGAGTCCTAGTCAGGGCAGGGAGTGCTTTCTGGAGGAGGCACAGGTGGAGCTTAGCCCTGAGGGTGGGTGAGATTTGGATGCGGTAAGGGCATTCCGGTGGAGAGAATTACATGAGCAATGGCCAAGTGGCTGGAATGAGTCTGTGTCTCTCAGAGGACAGTGAGGAGGGAGACCTGCCTGGCTGGACTTAGTGGGGCTGGAGAGCAAGGGATGGAAATGCCCAGCTGGAAATGGGAGAGCCTGGTCTACAGGACACATGTAGACATATGTATGTCCATGTACACACAAACCGTAGGTAAGATACGTTGGGGTGTGCGCAGATACACAGCTACTCACACAGTCACACGTACGACATGCACACATGACACAGGAGCAGCTGCCCCATCCCTTAGAGACCATATCATGTCCCGTTGGAGGGAAAGGATGTTGGCTTGTGAATCATTGGAAGCCAGGACAGGGTGAGGTGGAGTAAGGGACACCTTGAAGGTCCCTAACCTGCCTCTGCACCTACAGTTCTCCAAGGACGTCCTGGTCAACATCTATTCTGCCTACATTGATAACTTTCTCAATGCAAAGGATGCCGTGCGCGTGGCTAAGGAGGCGAGGCCTGCCTTTCTCAAGTTCTTGGAGGTACTGTTGGCTAGCTCAGGGGCATGGTCATCACCCTCGCCTTGGCCAGCTTTGGGAGGGGGCAGGAGCTCCCAGACTCCCAGACTCCCAGACACCGCAGCCTTAGCCTGTGGTTCAGTCTTTGCCCTTGGGCTGGGCTAGAGGGACTGGCTGGGGATCTGTCCCTGGACATTTCCTTCTTTGCATGACATTCCTCACACGGGTGCCCATCCCCCTTGTTTCTGGTTTCAGCAAAGCATGCGTGAGAACAAGGAGAAGCAGGCGCTGTCTGACCTCATGATCAAGCCTGTGCAGCGGATCCCACGCTATGAGCTTCTGGTGAAGGTGGGCATGGAGTTGGGTGGGCAGGAGGGCAAGGCTGGAAGGCATGTGAGGATGCAGGGGGCTATGAGGCCCCTACTCCGTCAAGCCTGACATCAGAGTCCCCAGGGGTTGGGTAGGAAAAGAAGTCCTCTCTGGAGCCTGCTTATAGTCCGTCCTGCTCTAGCCATCAGTGTGGGGCCCCAGGGCCTGAAAGGGGCAGCTAATAAGCAGGGGTCTTATCCCCATTTCTTCCCCAGGACCTCCTGAAGCACACACCTGAGGACCACCCAGACCACCCACTCCTGTTGGATGCTCAGCGGAACATCAAACAGGTGGCTGAACGCATCAACAAGGGTGTGCGGAGTGCCGAGGAGGCAGAGCGACATGCCCGTGTGCTGCAGGAGATTGAGGCTCACATCGAGGGCATGGAGGATGTGAGTGCCCACCCCCTCCACCCATGCCTTTGTTTGCATCTGTGGTTACCTGCAGTCACGGTCACGCCCACCTCCACAGCGGTGTCTGCAGCGCCTGTGCATCCCTGTCTGTTCAGCGTCCCCACCCGTCTCTGTCCACAGCCATGTCCTCCTCCCTGTCTTTCTCTGGCCACATGTCCCGCGGCCTGACCGCACAGCATCAGGAGGATGGAGGGGATGCTGCTTCTACTGGCCTGGCCCATGGAGTGGGGCCAAGGGGTCCCCCAGGGTCTGGGGAGGAGATGGGATTAATAATTGACCTTCAAGATGTTTTGTCTGTCCTGCCCCACAGCTCCAAGCCCCTCTGCGGCGGTTCCTCAGGCAGGAGATGGTCATCGAAGTGGTAAGAAGTCTCCCGTTGTCTACCCACCTGTTCCCATCTCCCCACTATGTTCACACTTCCGCTCATACCTGCTGCCCTTGGGCCTCCCTGCTCTTCCCCACAACAGGAGTCCCGGGTCGAGTCCCAACTCTGCCTCTGCCTCTGGGCATCTGGGGCAGAGCCCTCACCCCTCTCTGGGCCTGGCTGTCCCCTTGGGCACGGTGGGCAGGAGGGTGGGCCTCTGGGCCTGAGTCCTGCCTCGGGCTCCACAGAAGGCCGTCGGTGGCAAGAAGGACCGGTCCCTCTTCCTCTTCACGGACCTCATCATCTGCACGACCCTAAAGCGGAAATCAGGCTCCCTGCGGCGCAGCTCCATGAGCCTGTGAGTGGCCGGGGCGGGGCTGCACTTGGGCCGGGGCGGAGCAGCTGGCCCTCCCTGGGCCCCGCTCCCCCCGGCCTGGCCAGAGCACCCCCTTGGCTCCCCACAGGTACACGGCAGCCAGCGTCATTGACACGGCCAGCAAGTACAAGCTGCTGTGGAAGCTGCCGCTAGAAGATGCGGACATCATCAAAGGTGGGGCTGGCCTAGGCCTGCCCGGGGGTTCTGGGTGTCCGGGCCCTGCTCTCAGAAGCCCTCCTGGAGGGTTTGAACTGTGGCCAGGCTGGCTGCCCGTATCCATCTGCTTTTCTGCTTTTGGGGCCTTACTTTCCCAGCCAGTACAAGGGGGTGGCATGCAGGATCGGTGTGCCCGCCACAGAAGCACACCAGGACCTGTCCACGCAGACCACCTTCTGACAGGGCGGGGACCTCACCTAGGCTGGGGCGGCACGGGGGGCGCAGACACACCCGCCACTAGCCAGTGACCGCTGCACCAGCGTCCTATCGGACGGTGACACGCTGCTCTGGTCCCCAGTTTTGCTCGTCGGTAGCAGAGACTCACTCAAGTCAGTCCAAGCAAAAGTCTGGTTGGAAAGATCCAGTTGTTTGGGGCTGAGGCTGTCAGGAGCTGCAGCAGTTTCAAAGAGCTGCTCCTTCTGCTGAGTGTACATGTGTGTCTGTGTCTCCATCTGTCTGTCTCTCTCTGCGTCTGCCTGTTCTCACTGCTCTCAGCTTTCTCTGCTTCCTCCTTCCTTCCAACTCCTGTGATCCATCATGGCCTGTTCTGCATCTTGGCCCTTTCTCTCCAGCTGCTCCAGGATCCGAAGTTTACCTTTCTGAGTGGGGCGGTTGGTCTGGGACGGTTGGTCTAGGACGGTGGTGTGGGCACCTCTGGGCTGACAGGCAGTGCGGGTCCAGACTCTGTCCCTAGGCTCAGTGCGGTGGCCCCCAGGGCAAACCCAGGCCTGCCTCACATGGGCCCCTGTGTAGGAATACAAGCTGATGATTGTTCCAGTTTGGAACACAGGCCAGTCAATAAAATGACTACCTTTAGTTCAGGTGTCTGCTCCTGGTCCAATCCAGTGTGGTCAGAGTGGGGCGGGGTCATATGGAAGAAACCAGGGCTGCCCAGACAATGAGAGCTGTGGGGGGGACAGTGTCCTTCAGAAGGAGTAGGAGAAAACGCAAGCCTTAGCTTTTCTAGTACATTCCACTGCTGTCTACTCTGCCCATTGGTGGGTTCCTGGTCCAGGGTGGACACCCCCGGCCAGGCAGTGCTGGGTGTGGGGATGCTGAGCTGGCCTGTGGGGCCAGCTACTTGGCTGTGGTCAGGTATGGGATAGGACTAGAGAAATCCAGAGCATCAGCTCATTTTCCCTCCTTTGTCGGGGAATTGAGTCCCTTGGTCAGCAGATTTGACCGCCCGAGGCTCTGGCTGCCCGGCTGACTGGCCTGTGGAGGCCGCACTGCCGAGGCTTCCGGTGTCTGCTGGAGCCTGCAGAAGCTGCACAGCCGTCTGCTGTTTATTCTTTGTGCTCGTCCAGGGAGTTCTCCAAGGGACCAGCACCCTGTGCCAAGTGGCTCTAAATCAAGCCCAGCCCCCTGTTCCCAGGCCTGGTGTTTCTCTGTGAGCTGCCTGTCACTTTGTTCCTTGGGTCTTGGGGTTGACAAGCTCTCGGCTTGTCAGGCCACTCCCCACGCTGAGCTGCAGACTGTGAGGGAAGGGAAATTCTTCCCTTCTGTCCAAGCCTGACCCTATCTGCCTCTGTATCTGCCCGTGACCTTCCTCTGTCCCCACCAGGGGCGTCCCAAGCCACCAATCGGGAGAACGTCCAGAAGGCTATCAGCCGCCTAGATGAGGACCTGACCACCCTGGGCCAGATGAGCAAGCTCTCTGAGAGCCTTGGTTTCCCCCACCAGGTCTGTGCCCTCTGCCTGAGGCTGGGGGAATGGGGCGGTGGGGGTTCCCAGATCTGAGGGAGAGAAAACAGCCTCTTCATTTACCTGAGGAAGAGGTCACTCATCTCTGTCACTTATTGGAAGGGGAAAATACAGCCTCACCGCAACTGAGGGAAGTGATGTGTTCCAGGCCTGAGGGTGGAGACATAGCTCTGTCCCTAGCTGTGGGAGGAGAGGGGGCCCATCATGTCTAGGGGGTTGGGGGGAGAGGCAGGTCCCCACTTGCATTCTCAGGGCAGGAGCAGGCTGTGGGGAGCTGTCAGGGCCTGAGGCCTGGGTCCTCATCCTGGCAGAGCCTGGACGAAGCACTGCGGGACCTCTCAGCCGCCATGCACCGGGACCTGTCGGAGAAGCAGGCGCTGTGCTATGCACTCTCCTTCCCCCCTACCAAGCTGGAGCTGTGCACCACGAGGCCTGAGGGCACGGACTCCTTCATCTTCGAGTTCCCTCACCCTGATGCCCGCCTCGGCTTTGAGCAGGCCTTTGATGACGCCAAGAGGAAGCTGGGTAAGCCAGGCCCATGCTGGTGTCCTCCTTCCAACACCTCCAGGCAGTGGGCAGCACCATGCTGCGGTCTGGGAGATCAGGAGCCAGAAATCCCGAGACTGCGGTGTCCTGTGCTTCAGTCCCTGCTGGTGGGAGGGTGGACTGAGACTCCTACGGGGAAACATGGGACTTCCCCAGGGTCTCACTGGCAGGGAGGGGATTCAGTGGTTGAAAAGGGTGAGCTTAGGGCAGGGCATGCCAGGACGCACCCCCCCCCGCCCCGCCCTCCCCTCCTCTACATACTCTGAGCAGGCCGAGAGTAGGGAAAGCTATTAATCAGGGTCCATGGCTTAGAAGATCCTTAGAGACTTCTGGGTCTGCCTCCCACATTGTACAGATGGGAAAATTGAGGCCAGGGACAAGCAGAGCATAACCTACAGCCACCTCGTTTTCCCTTGAGAGATCCTGAAGAGCAGGGAAGAAAGGGAAATGGTCGAGGGTGAGGTGGATGCTAAGCGGTGTCTGTTTGTCCACCTCCGCCGCAGCATCCAGCAAAAGCTGTCTAGACCCTGAGTTCCTGAAGGCCATCCCCATCATGAAAACCCGCAGCGGCATGCAGGTGTGTGTGGGGGCCGGGGTCACACGGGCGCACGTATATTCAAACCAGCACGTGTTCATGTGTTTTTGTTTTGGGTACAACATTACGTACCTGTATGAACATGGCAGTCGCCCCCTATGTCTTTAAGTGTACAACTCTGCACATGCGTGTGGATACTACGTGTGTCACGTGCACGTGTGTGTGGCCACACACATCTGTGCGTGCATGGGAACGAGGGCTGTCTGATTCCTGTGAGGTGTCTAAGTCATGCGCTTGTCAGAGTCTGCATACATCGGGACAGAGCTTACCGTTTTTCACATTTGTTACCGCGCACCTATGGGGTCATATTTAGGGTTTACGTGTGTGTGGATGTATGCGTACACATATGTATGTGAAGGGATGATCCATCACACAGGCGTATGTGCATCTGACCTGCAGAGTGGCACACGCACCGTGTGTGTGTGTGTACACACGTGTACAGAGGGGCGTACTGGGAATCCGTGCACACCCGCGCGGGCCCACCTCCCTCCGTTCCGCCGGCCGCCTGGCGAGCGGTGGGGAGCTGGCCGCAATTCCTCCATCCACCTTCCCCTGCCCTGGTGCCGTCTGCAGTTCTCGTGCGCGGCGCCGACCCAGAGTAGCTGCCCCGAGCCCATGCCCGAAGTGTGGGTGTGCAACAGCGACGGCTACGTGGGCCAGGTGTGCCTGCTGAGCCTGCGCGCCGAGCCCGACGTGGAGGCCTGCATTGCCGTCTGCTCCGCCCGCATCCTCTGCATAGGTGCCGTGCCTGGCCTGCAGCGCCACAGCCACAGGTGAGGCCGGGGACAGTGGGGGGGCCAGCGGGACAGATCCCTGCCCCCGAGCCCTCTGGCGACTTAGTCTGGTGGACGGGGCGGGCCCGGTGGGCTTGTGGCCGAGGGGCGCAGAGCCTCGGCTCCTGGCAGCTCTCATCCCCACTGCTACATCTCACAGGGAGCGGCCGGCCTCGCTGAGGAGTGCCCCAGAGACGGCACTGGAGACCCCCGGTCCAGACCTGGACGTCGAGGCCGCGGACGAAGAAGCAGCGACGCTGGCAGAGCCAGGGCCCCAGCCCTGCCTGCACATCTCCATTGCAGGCTCGGGGCTGGAGATGACACCGGGCCCCACCGAAGGGGACCCCCGCCCGGAATTGGTGCCCTTTGACAGCGACTCCGATGATGAGTCTTCACCCAGCCCCTCGGGAACGCTGCAGAGCCAAGCCAGCCGGTCCACCATCTCCTCTAGCTTTGGCAGTGAGTGCCTGGCTTGGGGCTGTCAGGCAGGGTAGACTGCGCAGAGGAGGGGGCACCCAGCAGGTACTGATGGGTGGGCAGGGGGGCTGTGACACCAAGGACCTAGAGGGCAGTGGGTCAGTCAGGCCAGATCCTGAAGACCCTGGAATGCCTGGTTAAGTAGGGAAGATGGAGTAGGGGTGGAGCGGTTGATCCCCCTGTCCACGATGTGGTGGTGGATTGGAGTGGGCCAGGTCAGAACTAGGAGCCGGTAGCACTAAACTGTCCCCGAGCAGAATAACAAGGCCTGAGCTACGCTGACACCTCGGGAAAGGGACAACAGGGCTGGGAGGCCCTCAGGAGGGACATGGCCAGGAGGGATGCACTGAGGGGGGATGGGGGCCTAGAAAGATACAAGGTCTTGGGTGTACAACTCTGCACATGCGTGTGGATACTACGTGTGTCGGGGCAGAGGGGAATGGAGGTAGAGAACTTTGTCTCCCTCAGATGAGGAGACCCCGAGCTCCAAGGAGGCCACGGCAGAGACGACCAGTTCAGAGGAGGAGCAGGATCCTGGCTTCCTGCCACTGTCTGGCTCCTTCGGGCCTGGCGGTCCCTGCAGCACCAGCCCAATGGATGGGAGAGCCCTTCGCCGTTCCAGCCGTGGCTCCTTCACCCGGGGCAGCCTTGAGGACCTGCTGAGCGTTGACCCCGAGGCCTACCAGAGCTCTGTGTGGCTGGGCACTGAGGATGGCTGGTAGGGGGGCAGGACAGGGGCTGGGGATGCAGAACCCCGAGCTCTCTGCTTGGGAAATCATATGGTATCCTGAAGCAGAAGCAGGAGGGCTTGGGGTCAGACCTCAGGAGTACTGCTAGCCAGGGCTGCTAGGGGTTCTGAAGCCCACAGGGAGGCTTTGGGATCTCAGTACCTTGGGCCGACACCCGGCAGCGGGGAGATGGTGGTGGAGGCAGAGGTGGAGGGCGAACTTCAGGGGCTGGTGTAGGCAAGCATTGGTCACAGGTGCACACACCCCTGATCCACAGCGTCCACGTGTACCAGTCCTCCGACAGCATCCGCGACCGCAGGAACAGCATGAAGCTCCAGCACACAGCCTCTGTGACCTGCATCCTGTAAGGCCCTTGGGTAGTCCTCCTGGTCCAGACCCTTCTACACATGCAGGCCTCCTCTGGTCACCCAGCTCTCCCTGCTCTACTGGCCCCGCCTTTCTGTGGAGGCTGGAGGCCCGAGGCCTCACCCTAGGCTAGCCGTACCTCTCATACACCATGTGACTGTGGGCAAGTCACTACCCCTGCCTAGCTCAGACTCCCCCGCCTGCAGTGGCGGTCTCTCAGGAACCGTAGCCGTCATGTCTGTGATTCCCTTGGCCCCAGGTGACCTCCTCTGGCCTCCTGAAACCCCTGACTGCTCCTTATTTTCTCTGCCTAGGTATCTGAATAACCAGGTGTTTGTGTCTCTGGCCAATGGAGAACTTGTGGTCTACCAAAGAGAAGCAGGTGAGTGCCCACCGCACCCCACCCCGCCGATGTTGCTGGCGTAGGCACTCTCCCCGAGGCCCGTGAGTCTGGAGACGTGGCTTTGGGCACCTCTCAGGCCCTCTCTGGGCCTTGGTGTCCCCATGTACAAATGGGGTTTTTAGCACTTCGTTTCAGGGTGTGAGGGTGAGACGCTAGTGCGATACCAGACTGAATTTGCTCTGTTTTCCTTATCCGGCTCCCACTCCAGGCCATTTCTGGGACCCCCAGAACTTCAAGTCAGTGACCCTGGGTTCTCAGGGGAGCCCCATCACCAAGATGGTGTCTGTGGGTGGGCGGCTATGGTGTGGCTGCCAGAACCGAGTCCTTGTGCTGAGCCCCGACACACTGCAGCTGGAGGTACTGCTGGGGGGTGGGGGTGGGGACAGAATTGGTGATTTGGGGTAAGACTGGCCCGTGAGAGAGGGGGGAATGAGACCACGGGGGCCATAAGAAAGCATCCATCTGTCCAGGGAGAGGCCAATGATTGATCTGAAAACCCTTCAAGCTTTAATATTCTCTGGTCACAGAGTCATTGAGTTGCAGGGGAAAAGGCAGCTCCATTTTAATTCCTGAGGCTTAAATGGGGGGGCTTCAGTGGTCTGGCTTCATCCAGACCAAGGAGCAAGGCTGCCTTTGCTGTCAGTCCAGGCGGGTTTTCTGGAGAGGTTCGGTGTGAGTTGTAGGGGTGAGGTGGGTGATGGTGGGGAACGAGGCAGGGAAGGGCCAGGGAAGGCAGGCCCGCCAGTCACCCCTGTGCCCTCTGCCTGCCCCTCCCACCGCTCCGACCAGCACGCGTTCCACGTGGGCCAGGATTCCAGCCGCAGCGTGGCCTGTATGGTGGACTGCAGCCTGGGGGTGTGGGTGACGCTGAAAGGCAGCGCCCACGTGTGTCTCTACCACCCAGGCACCTTTGAGCAACTGGCAGAGGTAGACGTCACACCTCCCGTGCACAGGATGCTGGCAGGTACTGACCTCCGGCCCCTGCCGCCCCTTCCCTTGGAGCCCTTCCACCCCATCGCTGAGGAGGCTGAGCCGGGCCCGGATGCGGCCCCAGCTCTGGTCCGTCTCACCCCCTAGGCTCGGACGCCATCATCCGGCAGCACAAGGCTGCCTGCCTGAGGATCACGGCGCTGCTGGTGTGCGAGGAGCTGCTGTGGGTGGGCACCAGTGCCGGCGTCGTGCTCACCATGCCCACCTCACCCAGTACCGTCAGCTGCCCGAGAGCGCTCCTGAGCCCCGCCGGCTTAGGCCAGGGACACACTGGCCACGTCCGCTTCTTGGCTGCAGTCCAGCTGCCAGACGGCTTCAACCTGCTCTGCCCGACCCCACCGCCTCCCCCAGACACGGGTGGGTCTGTGCATCCTCCCCCAACCCAGGGATCCTGGACTCTGCTTAAGATTTGCCTCTGTCTCGCCAGAAGAGGTTTCAAGAGGGAAGAAGAGTGTGGTCCAGAGCTGGAAGTGGCATATATGGCAGGAAATCGGCTCCAAAGTCCCCAAAATAAAACCTCCTAGGGTATGGGGTGTGTGCAAAAACTCGGTCTAGAAGCATCACAGGAGACAGGCAGTGAGCTATAAGAACTGTAGCCTAAGAACTAGACGGTGGCCCAGCAAGGGATGCATACGGCAGGGAATCAAAGTGGACCAGAAATGCGGTCTAGGGCAAGGCGTCAGGGAGTGACGGGCAGAGCGGGAAACAGCAACAGCAAGTAGAACACAGAACGGCAGGCAGGACAGCCGTGGACTGTGAGGATTAGCAAGTGAAACGTGTTAGGAGATGGCATCCGTCAAGGAGGGCCACAGTGAGCCAAGGCTTGCTTTGACTGGGCAGGAAACCGTATTCCCCCGAGGAGGCGGCTGTGGGAATCTGGAAGCAGGGAAGCCTCAGGCAGGAGCCGTCCGCGCCCGCAGAAGACCGAAGCTCCCCAGCTGGGAAGGGGCTGTTGGAAGCAGGAAGCTGTTTGAGGAGGACAGTACATGTGCGATAGAGGGAGAGAGAGAGAGGGGTGTGGCCCTGAGAACTTATGTCACTCTTGACTAGAACGCACAGATAAGAGGTAAGAAGTTGTGTGACTGCCAGGAAGTGGGTATTTCTTTCCAAAGAAGTTCTTGGCTAACAGGAAGTAGGATCCCCCACAGAAAGTGCGCCTTTCTTCTTGTCTTCTGAGGTGCAGGCCCTTAGGGGACAGCACAGCCATCAGTCAGCCCCCGGCTAATGGACCCTCTCCCTCCACCCCCCAGGCCCTGAGAAGCTGCCATCCCTCGAGCACCGGGACTCCCCTCGGCACCGAGGACCTGCCTCAGCCAGGCCTAAAATGCTCGTTATCAGTGGAGGTGACGGCTATGAGGACTTCCGACTCAGCAGTGGGGGTGGTAGCAGCAGCGAGACCGTGGGCCGAGACGACAGCACAAACCACCTCCTCCTATGGAGGGTGTGACCCTGTCCACTGTGGCCCAGGACTTGCCCTCCCACCGCCCTCAGCCCGCTTGCCTCTTCCTAGCCCACACTTCCTAGCAGACTCTGACCAGGAGCGTCCCACCAGGGGCACCCCTGTGTCTGCGTGGGCTCCCTCCCATCCGCACGGAAGTATTCCTGGTGGAACACCTGCTGGCCAGCGGGCCGGGGCCTCTCCCGACCCTCTGGCTGCTTCGGTACTCCCAGTCATCATGGGGGTGGGGCAGGGGGCATGTGGGCTGCCCAGGACCTCTGTCCCTGGAGCTTCTACCAAAGACACGGCTGGGCCTGGACCCCATGGGGCTTGGGAGGGCCATGTGCAATATTTGGAGGGTTTTCTGGGGGCAGTGGGAGGGCTGGGGACAGAATCCTTTCCCATGTACAGTATTTATGTTCCTTTTTAGATGTGTACCTTCCCAAGCACTTATTTATGCAATGACCTGGGCAGGGGGTGATTTGAGGAAGTCACAGAAGGGAAAAGACCCTATTCCTGCTCTGGGGGCCACCCTGGGACCCTAAGCGAGCCTTCCTGGAAGGACCAATCCCCCCCTCATTACATACTTGTGAACATGTGTGCACATACACATGGGTGTGCAGGTATGCGCGTGCACATGCACACACACACGCACACACACACACACTGCATGTTCAGGGCACTAAAACATTGCCTCTCAACATATACTTTCCACGGCCTTGTCCTGATTGGGCTGCCCTCCAGTATCCAGAGCCAAGGACCAAGCACCCTCAGTCATACAGAACAAGGTGATGACTGCAAGGGGCAATGATTCCCATGCGGGGGCCTCCCCAGGCCTTGGCATTTCCTAACTTGTTGGCAGTGCCTTTAGTCGTTTCCAAATTTGGTAACACTGATAGGGAGGTGGACAGGGCTCTCTCTCCTGGCCTGAGCAGGGAAAAGGAAAGGGCCCTTGTTCTCCTCAGAGCTGCCCCCCAGCCCCTGTGTCTCATGCACTGGCACGTATGGTCACCTTGGGAGGGTGGGCCTGGGAGGCCCCCCACTCTGACCATTGAGACCCTCTCTTCACACCCTTCCTGCCAGGGCAGTCCCTCCAGGAAGAATGCCCAAAGCTGAGGGGCTGGACATGGCCTCTTCAACTGGGAACCACTTGCGGGCAGGCTCTTCCCTGCTCCCTGGCCTGCAAGAGCCAGTCTGACCCCCAGGCCCCTTGCTTCTTCAGCTACAGCTCCAAAGGTCTGGTTTCAGATGGGGTTTGTTTGGTTCTGTTTTTGTTTGGGGTGCGTGGGTCATTGCGGTCTTAGATTATGTTTCTCTTGCTACCAAACAGTCATGTATTAACTTTCCTTGGATGATGAATTTTAAAGAGTCAATAAATAGAAACACCAAATGACCACTCCCCATCGGTGGCATGGTGACCCCCAGCCACCAGCCTCGGGGCTCCCCGGCTGATGGGCCTCCCAACACCCACTCACTTGAGCAGAAGGGAGGGCTCAGAGACCCAGAACAGAAGGGTGCTGGGATGGCAAGCCCACCACTCTGCTGTGTTATCCCGGGCAGGTCGCTGCCCCTGTCTGGGCTGTAGCGCTCTTGTCAGGAAAACGAGCCCTCATGCCTGTTCACGGCTTTGTAACCAGGGCGACATGTTAGAATCCCTCAGAGATTACATGTGTGAATATAAAGCATGATACATAATTACATGTCCATGTAAGTCTACATTCCCAGGCTCCCCACAGCTCCTCAGTCACTGGGCCTGGGATGGGGCTTGGGAGTCCGAAGCTGACATGGGCAGCACGTGAAAAACAAGGTGACCAGGAGACTGTACAGCTCCTGAGGAAACGATGTTCTGCAGCAAAGCCTCCTGTGAGGCTGGGAATCTGACAGAAGCCAAGGTGACTTCAGGTTTTGGAGCAAGGGTAGAATCCCAGTCTGTCTGATTTCTGGTCCAAAGTGGTACGTCATTAAATCAGACATAGTGCAAAGACCAACCCCACGGGGCTGGCCAGTCCTCACAGGGCGGATCCCTTCCCACCGGGGTACCCCTCACAGAGCTCAAGATGGCAACCACTCGTAAAGGGCGGAGCAGGCCCCCGGCTCTGCTGAACACGTCAGAACATCTTTCAACCTAAGTAACCTAAGTGATGAACACTTTACACAAATCAGTTGCTCAAGGGGGAGTGTAGGTTCATGCTTTGCACGCTGGCATACACACATCTCGGGTCCGCTGGGCCCTCAAGGCCACGGGACATGCTTGGAGTATCTCCCCACAGCACCACCTCACTTGGAAGATCTGGGGAGGAGGGGATGATATTAAACACATATATTCCAGAGTAGAAAGCAGTGTTCATGTGGAATTTCTGGTGAATCAAAGCAGAAAGAACACAGACTTTGAAGCTAAACAGAAATCTTAACTTTGCCACTAACTAGCTATGTGACCTTGGTTGAGTTACATCCCCTGTAAGCCTTCATTTCCTCATCTGTAAAATGGGGCCAATAATCTTTTCCCCCACAAAGAAGAGATTTGTTGTGCCCTGAAATAAAAGGGGGGCTAATTAGTGGGAACCACTAATTAAATAGTTGTCAGCACAGTGGCCCAGATCAATATTGGAGCTCCATCTCAGGACACCTGGCCCTTCCACCTTGAGACTCTGCTTCCTCCCTGCTGCCAGATGGCTGCTATTCTCACTGTGGCCTTGGGCCTCTGTGCCTTCAACATAGGTGCCCTGGCCAGACTTTACTTTCAGCACTGGACACCCAAGGCTGGGTCCCCGGCATTTTCCCAGCTCCAGTGCCTCAGCAGGACTGGGCCTGGCCAGCCAACTGCTAATTAGGAGGTCACATCCTGGGGCACTGGCCAGCCTGTGGACATGCTCAGCCCCGAGCCGGTCAGCTGTGGGCAGGGAGGTCTTGGGATGAACAGTCATCAGGCCACAGGCCCAGGGGAGAGTCCTGGAAGAATTTGCTCTTCTAAAGCAGTAGTTCTCAACCTTGGCTGCACATTATAATCACCTGGGGGGCCCAGCCCACATCCCAGACCAATTAAATCAGAGTTTGGAGGGTGGACCCAGGTGTCACTATTTTTCAAGGGAACTGTATTGAAGTATAATGTTTGTACAGAGAAGTAGACAAATTGTTAGTGTGTGGCTTGAATTTTCATTAAGTGAACACCTCCAGATCAAAAAACCGAGTATTTCATCACCCTAAAAACTCCCCCTTTGCCCCCTCTGAGTCTACCCTCCAAGGGTAACCATTACCCTGGCATATGATACCATGTTTTAATTCTGCCAGCTGAGGTGGACAACCAGGGTATGACCAGGGCTGGCCATTGGGGTTGGAGGAAGTGGGACTTGGGTTTGGTATGAAAACCGAACAGCTTGAGCCAAGGCAGTCAGGGGAGGGGAGGGCCTGGAGTGAGGAGTCCGTGGTGTAGGCCCAGCTGGAGCAGAGGAAAAGGCAGGGGAAGCCAGATTGAGCTCTGTGAGAGGCGACTTCATTTTGTTCCTAGCTCCATCCCCAGGCTGCCTGCAGTGCCTGACACACAGTAGATGCTCAATAAATATTTGTGGAATTCAGTCTGGAGAATTCAGTTGGAGTCCCCCTCTAGGTCTTAAATGTCACAGGACAATAACCCCAGCTCCCAATTATTGTTTGCAGCAAGTCAGGAGCATGGACCATCTCGCTTAATCCTCACGATGGTCCTGGGAGGTTGGTGCCATTATTACTCTTTTTTCAGATGAGGAAACTGAGGCTCAGGGAGGTAAAATGCCTTCCTCAAGGTCACCAGTCTGCTAAGTGGTACAGCCTGAATTCAATGTGGTCTATCTGCTCAGGGCTCTGTGGCTCAGGGAGGGGGGGGCAGGCACGTGGAGGGGCTGGAGGACAGGAGAGATGGAGTCTGAGGGGCCAGAGCCACATCCAGTCCCTCATGAGATCTCTGGCTCATGTTCCATAGACCAGCCCTGGGCAGGATGTCCTGATCTCAGAGGCTAGGAGAGAGCCATCCCTTCTCCAAACAGGTTCTCGGGGTGGTCTCTTGAGCTAGGGACAGAGGGCAGGATTTAGCTAGACATCTGCCTCACGGGGAAGATGAGGCACAGAGAGGGATAGGGACTTAACCTCAGGTCACACAGTAAGGCAACACTGAGGCTAGAGGGGAGGGGTGAGGTGGGTGTAGAGGACAGCCCAGGCAGGAAGGTTTCCTATGGTCAGAACAGTCAGAGAATGGCCCTTAGAACCCACGAAGCCCACGACTGGAGTAGCTAGCCTCCAGGGGCCCTGTTGTACACTCGAACTGGGGTTGGCAGTAGTCTGCAGGTCCAGAAGTCTTGGTGAAGGGACGGGAAGTCTGGCTGAGGCCCTGCCTTAGACTTTCTGGGCAGAGCCTGGGGGGGAGATGGGGGACCCAGACATCTGAACTCAAGCCTCAGCCCCAGCCTCCCTTCACGGTGTGACCCTAGGCAAGTGTCTGCCCTCTCTGGAACCAAATGTCCTCTGTGAGCCCTTCACATCTTTTGCACGCCTGCCAAACACCAATTCTCCCTTCTGTCCTCACAGACTTCAAGCCACAGGCCAGGTTGCAGGAAGCAGCAAGGGGAAGTGCTATTTTGGGCCCATTATGGCCAATGAGGAGCCCTGCCCAGCAAAGGCAAGTGAACGGGCATCGCATGCTGGATCAGGGATAGATTGCAGGGCTGAACTGAGGAGGGGGACATCGAGCAGGAGTTGCCGACAAATGGAGGCAGAGCCCAGATGCCAGACTGTGGGGAGGTCACAGAGCAAGTACTGAGGATGCAGGAGGAGAGGGAGCAGATAGGGGTTCCGAACCCAGTGTTCTGGAAGAAGCTAGTGCCCCCGACATGGGATCTCAATAGATCCTCACAACACCCTGGGCTGGTGAGCTTGCACTCAGAGAGGTAAAGTCACTTACTTTAAGCCACACAGGCCACACAGCCTGGCAGTGGCAGAACTGGGACTCGACCCCTATGTCTGTGGCCCCAAAACCCAAGCCCAGTGAGATTCCAGACCCAGCTCAGGGTCTGGACCTAAATTTGGATTGAACCTAGCTCTCAGGCCCAACAGCCTCAGCTCAGTTCCTGTCCTGCCCCACGGCTGAGCCCCACCCTGGCCTCCTAGCCCCAGTTCCTCCTTAGACCAAAGCCCACCCTCCCCCTGGAGCTAAGGCACACACACAGGGGGGCAGCCCACCTTTAGAGGGGTAGGACTTGGCCAGTTAGGGGTTAGCCAAGGACAGAGCATTGAAAAAAATTCTTATTTTTTTTTTTAAAGATTTTATTTATTTATTCGACAGAAAGAGACACAGCGAGAGAGGGAACACAAGCAGGGAGGGTCAGAGGGGGAGAAGCAGGCTCCCCACTGAGCAGGGAG